CAAGAACAATGAGCGACTGCCAAGTGCGGCTCGCTTGTTTATTAAATATCAGCATAAAAATAAAAGTAAAGCACAATGAAATAAGTAACTTTTTCTAGCGAAATGGCCTCGAAACTTGTTGCAAGCTGCAATCTGCAAGCTCATTGGCTGCCTTATGGCTGAGAGGGCTTGAACAGTTTTTATAATATACCCAAAGCCCATTGAAAATGTATAAAATGGATGTAATAATAGAGTTACGCAAAAGTACGTAACAAGCGGAAGGAAGCAGCGTTGAGACCATAAAATATATATATATATATTCCTGATCAAGATCATTTCCGCCTGTCTCTAAGAACTGGAAACTTCAATAACTTTCCTCGGTTTGTGTATATCGATTCAAATCGATTTCCGATAGCAATAAAAACTACAATTTTAAAAATACACAAGGACTTCTCTCGACTAGAGCAGTCTTACCAACTCTTGTTATATATTTGTTGCCGTTATGGCTGCTTTTTTTTGCTTAGCGGGGCCCTTGAGCATAACGAATATCAAATTGTCTGGCAATTGCCGTGGAATTTGAGAAGTCAATCGCATCAAAGGGTCGCATATTAACATATCAAACGAGCGGCAGTTAGCCGAAAAATTGCTGCATTTTGGTCGCCAGCAAATTGAAAGGTGCAAAAATAGCGTTAGCAGAATAAAAAAAAAAACGAAAAGAAAGTGCATCACACACACAACCATACACACACAAACACACACACACACCCGAGTACACGAATGTCAGCACAAAAGAAAGCCACTTAAATGCAGATTACAATAAAGGAAGCATTTTGCAGCTGACGTCAAACGAGTTTTGGCTTTGGGGCTAACCTTTCTCCTTTCTTTTCTTTACGGTTTTTATTGGCCATTGTCTTTTGGCTTTTTGGCAAAGCGTACGGCATATCAAATTGTCAGCCACTCTCTTTTTAGCACCTTTAATAGCAGCCTTTTGGCTAAAACACTTCAAGCTTATTTCAAAATGTTTGTCAAACGCCATTACCAGCAGCAGTTGCACTAACACTTGAATTACATTCTTTCTTTTTGGTGTCGAAAAATTTATTATTTTTACGAGGCATTAAATTTTCGTTCAGTTCTCTAAAGACCGTATCACCGTACAGCCGCAAGTTTAAAATTCATAAATTCCTATACATTTTTTCATTATAGCGCTAAATTTGTTCAGCAATCTCGGATAGGAGATACAAGATTCTATTTATCAATCAAAAATTGCAATCAGTATAGAAAAAAATGTTGGCAATTAGCTATGATCGGAGCTTAAGCGGGAAAAGCATTTACATCTTCGGCTTATTTTATGTGACTGCACACGGCGTATGCGTAATTTGATTGAGGACTACGTCCACAAATGGAAATATCAACCAGAATGCCTGCGACAGAGACTGACTTGTGTTGTGCAGTGTACACTGTTCACTAGTTGGCAAGTAATCAAGCAAATGCAGCAGATCTGTTGCTGCAGAGACGCATGCCAAAAACAAGTTTTAATTAAGACATTTGCTGGGCCAGAGAATCCCGACATATTCATTTTCAACAGCCGCTAACAAAACTGGCAAATGAAGATGGCTGGATGGACAGCAAACAGCAGCAGCAGCAACAGCAACAATAACAAACAACAAACAACAGCAATAGCAACAACCGCATAAAACAATGTCCAAAGTCGTGGAAAACAGAGTGAAAACTAAATAAATGTCTCTGCATAACTTAGACACTGACAAATGCAGTAGAGTTCTAAAATATGATTGTACATTTAAACATCGAAAATTTTGATGTTGCTTAAAGTTTTCTATCACATTTTTTCCAACAATTGTGTTTTTTGCAGAGCTTTGCTAATCACAAAGACAAGCTAAACACTTGCTGCATATTTTTAGGCAGTCATCAAAATAAGAATATCGAACCGAATACCTTTTGCGAGTCTCATTGCAGTTAGCTTTTGCCAGCACCAGTAACATTAAATATTAACAGATACATGTTAATGTGAAATAAAAAACGCTTTAAGTGCTGTCTACTTTCTTTATTAACCTGAAGGGCTCAATAGCCATTTTATAACCCTCCTTAAAAGCCAGATTGTTTACAGATCACAGCCGTGATGTATTTAATAACAATAAGAGTTTACTTTAATTCCGTAATATATTTGCTTTGGCTTTTATCAAAGCGCATTTGAGGATCGTAATAAGATATAATAAAAAACTTAACAAACTGTAGAGATTTATAGAGATAAACCGGCTAGTTATCAGCCAGAAGACGTGAAGAGATAGTCAGCCCCATTGTTCGTCATACATCATATATCATATCATATGTTGTTTGCACTGGGCGTTAGGGATGTCAGCACCGATTTTGCGGTTTGTAGCCGAATTGAATTTTTGAATATGTCTTTTTCTACCGGTTTAAGCAGACTCGCTAGGAGGACCGATTTTCACACACACATAAACACATAAACACTCATTCACCACCCTCCCCTGACCGCAATTATGAGTGTTTTAGGCCCAATGAGAGCGAGAGTGCTTAGACAAGTCAATGACTTGGCACATATCTATGTGGTTTTAAGACCGCAGTTTTTTACATAATTTTTGTCGTTGTTTTGTTTATATTTTCGTGCTTCGTTTATTTCCTCACATGGGTATTATAAGCATATCTCGCACTTTATGCCCGAATGTCACAAATTTGTGTTAATTGTTTGTGGTAACAAGTTCACCACAAGTTGTTTAGTGCTAATTTTATTAAATATCCATAGAATCAATGAATTTCAAAGTGCCCATAAGTATTGAGCATATAGAACATATATCGTATATATAGATAGTCAGTGCAACAGATGTTTATCTGTTGGATGTAGTTTTGCAGTGTTAAAGCCAACAACTCACAAAGAATATCATTTATCATCAAATTTCAATTACTTTTGATGTGTTGTATGGCTTAAGACTTAACTTCAGAGATTGTAAATATTTAAAATTATGATTACATTTAAATTGATAAGACTTTGCAATTTGACAAATATAGCCAGAAGTACTACTATCAATAACTTATTAGATTAGAAATTAAATAAAAATAATATGCGAGGCATATTTGCTTAAATTATTTATAATTAACACTTATAAATAGTAGCCTTGACTTTCAAGAGTCTCTCTTCAGAGATATGCCTGCTCTAATAGCAATAGATAAACAAAAATAAAATAAATAGCATATGAATGGAAATTCCCAAGTTAATTTTGGAGGCTTTCACAGCCTGACATTTCTTGTACGATAGTGTGGCAGGTGGCCAGTGGACAGTGGCATGTGGCACACAAAGTGATAGTTGGGCTGGATACTTGTATATTTCCACAGATCTTTTGAGCGGGAAGCTGTCAGCTCCAAACTTGTTTTGTGTACACATGTTCCTAGAATACCAGTAGTGTGTTTTAGTCAAAACCAAGTAAACCAGAAAGATATGTGAGCATATTTGAGCGGTGGCGTGAACTGATTAAATTCTCAACTTTATTATTGCGAAGAAATTTGGACTGTCCTCGCTTTTAGTTCTTTTTGATTTTGTTTTATTAATTACATTTTTTAAATACTAAACTTTTTCAATTTATCTAAAACAGTTTCACTTTCATCGAAATCTAAAATCTTATTTTCGAATTTCTTTGGAAAATTAACTTAAGTAGCAATGATTCAAAATTTCGTGTGAACACTGTGATTGTTTTCGACACAAAATAATTGCTAAATCCAGCAAATAAGCAAAAGTGCATTACAAATGGCAAACAAAACTTAAGAAAGAACATTGAACTACGTCAGACCGAGCATTAAATACCCTTATTAATTATATTGCGTCTGTAAGCAATAATTAAATGACAGCTATAATATATATAGAAATTAATTTTAGGGGGATTCGACTTTCAACTTAAAAACTTATCAATTCGTAGATTAATCACGATCACGTTTTAGTTACTCATATTAATTTTCAGCTAATAACAATGTTTTCATTTAAACTGCAAAATTTTAACACTTGTAACAAAAAACTTTGCAAATATTCTTCAAGAATGAAAATTATTTTAAGAGAAGGGCAATGTAACATATTACAAAAAAAAAAGACCGATTGAGTCAGTATAATAGATAGATAAGTGAAAATTGGTATTCTCTCTAAGACTAGAATTTAAGAAGTAAAATCAGATCGAATTTACAACTCAACTCAAGAAAGCTACGAATACCTTCTCCATGTGCATGCTAAGAGCTACGCAAAACAAACCAAGCAAAATCATGATCATAGCACAGCGAAATGAAACCCACCCTGTCGATAAGGCGACAAAGGCGTCGATCGGACAACAGAGATGCAGAGATATTCACAGAGGCAAATAGAGCGAGCGGCAAAACGAGAGTGAGAGAGTACACAGAGAGAAAAAATTGACAATGGCAAATGGTGCTGCCAGACACTTGTCAAAGCTTCGCATCTACTCTGCCAGAGCAGAGAGATTTGGCATCGCTCTTGCCAGAGACTATTCGATCGCATATAAGCGAGACCTCTGGCAACATCTCGACGATCACATTGGAAATAGAAAATATAGATTGACAAATAAATCATATATTCAATTTTTTCATATATTAATTTTTGAACTAAATATATATCATATTTTTATTTTTATATAAATATTCATTAGCAAATAAACTAGAATAAATATAATAACCATTATAAAAAAGAGAAAACATTTAATTATCTTGCAAATAGTGGCTACGTTTTTTCGCACAGTGCACACTCCGAAAACTGGGAGAGTGCGTATGTTGCATGCTGTGTATAAATACGTGTGCATCGAGCAGTAGTCGCTTCAGTCAACGAGTCGGAAGCCAAAGCAGATCATCAGTCCAAAATCAAATCAGCGGCGCACAACCAAAATAGCGCCCAATCGAGCAAACCAAAAGAAAACACGTCCATCCAGCTCTATACATATACATATATATAAATTACATATTTTGACATTGTGTAAAAAATAGAAAAGCAAAAAAAAATTGTGTGTGTTTTGTTGGTTGCTCTTTTCACATTTTTTTGATTCGCGCAAATTGTCAAACGAAAACAATTTACATGTCTTGCCAAAAATTTCAGAGCGAAGTAATCAGCTGTCGTAGCAACGTTCGTCAGCACTTTAACAGCACCCAAAAATAATAAGATCATAAAGAAAACATAATAATCACAAAAAAAAACTTGAGCGAAAGAAGTTGAAGACTTCCAAAAATCAATTAAAAACTACGAAAGAAAGCAAATTAAGTCATAAGTGATAAATCGATTTGTTGGTCTTGGTATCTTCAACTGCATGGGTAAAGTTATGCTAGCAAATTCACTTCCGCCGCCCAACCGCAAGTGCCACCAGAAACAATTAAAGTTGAAGAAAATCGAAATCTATTTTATGTTCAACAATCTGTGCAAAAGAAAACCTTTAACGGATTATAGTTTATTGACGCTAAACATTCAATCGGAAAGTGAGTAAATTCTACAGTGACCGTTAAGTGTATGTGAACATTCAACATTAATCGAAGCACAGTTAAAAAAAAAAAAAATTATTAATTAATACGATAAAAACACAAACACACACACATTTTATAGTTTGTTAATTATAGGTGAGTACTAAGTGAAAATTGAAACCCTTTTCTATTAAATTATTTAAATATGCATATCTAAATTGATATCGTGATAATATTACATTAAAGTTCAAATAATGGTATATTTATATGTGCCTATATGCAATATCCCGTCTATTAACAATCAAATTTTCAGTCGCACATTAGTCATAATAATGACCACAGCTCATAAATGATCATTTTAATTACAAAACTCAACAGGTAATTGAAATGGTTCATTAAATACCTGTGAATACGTGTGAAATCATATTGTTGTCTTGAGTTTATGGCTAATATGCTAACTAGTTTCAGATCGGGGCCTTAACCCATCAAATTATTAATTCTTACAACTGGAATTCAGACTTACTTCCTAATGCTCGTCTCTAATTAACTGATTAGCATAAAGTTTGATTATTTGTCGTGAATATATTAAGACAATTTATTGACCTAGTCAACTAGCAGACGCTCATTTTGAGTTTACGATCCGCATTTCTATGAAGTGTATGTGTAATATATGTATATGATATAAATATACGTTTGTTAAGATGTCGTGATAAGACTAAGCGCCTGACCTGTGTGGATTATATGTATATGATAAAAATATTCGTTCGTTAAGATGTCGCGATAAGACCAACCGCCTGACCTGCGGCTTTGTCAAATTAATCTTAAAGTGTCGTGGATATAATTGGAATGAGAATGTGCATGACATTCGTCACTCTATAAATTAGCTTTTTGTATTTGTATGCCCCGTAATGAGACAACTTTGCCAGATGGGTATGACAAGCTAACAGAATTATACAATTGACAGATGATTTTCTTTTTATCATTTAAATTATTTGATTTGAGATGATAAGATTTAGATAAATGTATATATGTTGTAGTGATGTCTCAGCCTTGATTACAGGGTATCTGCTAAGCGACTAGCGTCTTCTTACTTGCCAATATTTATTAATAATAAAATTCTATAGCTATCGCTGATAAGTCTTTCAGGTTGACGCCAAATATAAAAGAGCGTCGAAAACATCTTATGTATGTATTAAGTATATATTGTCGACTCATTGTGATCAAATTCAATGCTAAACGAATGTTAATCTGACAGATGCAACCAATTAAAAGCTAATCAAATTTATTAAACACAATAATGGGATAGGCACCAATAACCGACAATTGTTGCATTCTGCTTTCGAATTGGGCTACCAGTATTATCAGCATCTTGCAACTTAAATGCGAACAAAGCCAGTGCCTGATAAGCAGAACAATTCAAATTCTATTTCTTTTCGCAAACATGCATTTGATTTGTGAAAAACATTCAACTTTCTGACGGGTGAGAGGGAAATTGTTCAACCTCGCGTCAATTGAATGCCAAATGCATGCAAGTCAATTAATAACAGATCACTTTGCTATCTGGATTTTTGGACGTGCCGAGTCAAACATTCCGTAACCCAATTGGGTTCAATGTCTTGATTTGAATCATTTTGTTTTGTGTGTAGACTAGAGATGTTCCCAGTCTTGTGTATAATATACATTTTATCTCTCTTTTAGCTGCACAGTTCAACTTAAAAGCTCAACATGGTCGGAGTTACAGCCGATACTGCGCAAGCCGCTCAGCTCTCCTCGGCGAACAATCCCATGATTAAATACATGCTGAAGCAGCGTGAAAATCATGCCAAAGAACAGGATGCTGACTACTCGCATGTTTTTCGCCGGAAAACGTCATTTGAACTGTATCGCTTATCCGCCATTGCGATGGCCATTGAGTTTGCCTATGCCGCCGAGACGAGCTTTGTAACACCTATATTGCTACAGATTGGCATTGATCACACGCACATGACCATGGCATGGGGTTTGTCGCCGTTGATCGGTTTCTTTGTCTCACCTCTGCTGGGCAGTATCAGTGATCGCTGCAAATTGCGCTGGGGTCGAAGACGCCCAATTATTTCCCTGCTCTCACTGGGCATATTCTTTGGATTGGTGCTGGTGCCGTATGGCAAGGATCTGGGCAGTTTGCTTGGCGATGTAGGATACAATTACACCTTAACTCCTCCAATTTCCAATAGCTACGACAATGTGAGCGCTGTTGCGGCTCTAATCTCAGCTGAATCTGAAGTGGGCACGTCGGTGGCTAATTTCAAGTTTGCTATAATTTTAACAATAATCGGTTTGGTTTTATTGGATTTCGATGCGGACACGTGCCAGACACCGGCACGCACCTATCTGCTGGATATGTGTTTGCCCGAGGAGCAGTCGAAGGCGTTAACAACGTTCACATTATTTGCTGGATTTGGCGGCACTATTGGCTATGCTATTGGTGGCATCGATTGGGAGACAACGCAAATTGGCACATTTTTAGGCGGAAATATACCCACTGTATTTAGCTTGGTGACGATTATTTTCATCATTTGCTATCTGATAACGATAACAACATTTCGAGAGATACCCCTGAAGCTCATTGAGAGCGATGAGCTGCTGCGTCCACTCTCCGAGACGGCTATTAAGCGAGAGCTAAAGAAGAACAACAATGCCATCTACTATATACAGGAGACTACAACTCTCGAGCTGCAAATGGCCAATGATCTGAAGACTGTCGATACCATTAATGGTTATCAGAACAGTAGTGGGGGCCAGATAAAAACACTGGATGTCAATACCGAAATTGAGGAAACACCTAAAGTTTCACTGTGTGGGTATCTGAAGAGCATCTTCATAATGCCGCACTCGATGCGCATGTTGGCGCTCACAAATCTCTTCTGTTGGATGGGTCATGTCACCTATTGCCTCTATTTCACCGACTTTGTCGGCCAGGCTGTCTTCAACGGGGATCCCCAGGCGCCACCCAACTCGCTGGCGTTGCAGCTTTATAACGAAGGTGTTCGGTTTGGCTGCTGGGGCATGTCCATCTACGCATTCTCCTGCTCTATTTACTCGCTAACTGTAACAAAGCTGATGAAGTGGTTCGGGTAAGTGCAATTCAATTAAAGAAAGTAACAAAAAAATATATAAATAATATATAATAGTTTAAGAATATCACACTTGTAAGATTCATAACCAGTTTGTAATGCTATTTTATTGAACTCTTGCAGTACAAAGGCAGTTTACATCAGCGGCATGATATACTATGGAGTTGGTATGCTTATTCTCGGACTTTGGCCGACCAAGTGGGGTGTTCTCTTCTTTAGCACCTCGGCTGGAATACTCTATGGCACACTGTTCACCATGCCCTACATTCTGGTTGCCAACTATCACTCCAAGAATTGTGTATGTGTTTATGTTTTGTGTAATCTTTAAATTGTTACTTTTTTGGTTTTTATTGAGCTAACATCTTTCTATTGCAGTTCCGTGTGCGGAATGGGGAAACGGTGCCGCTCAAACAGGCACGTGGCTTGGGCACCGATGTGGCCATCATTAGCAGCATGGTCTTTGTTGCCCAATTGGTTGTTGCGCTCTGTGTTGGTCCACTTATCGACTGGGTGCAGGGAACGTGTGCCATTTTGTATGCGTCGACGTTTTTATCCTTTACGGCAGCCATTTTTGCCATGTTTGTGCTATATGTCTAGGCAGGGTATTATATATATATATAGTGTATTAGCTGTATTATCAGACTCTGTTTATCAGTGTTCGCACATTTTAATTAATATGATATTTATGATTTCCGCACTGTTATCATTCAAAGCATCTCTGCTTGATATACCTAGGGCGCAATTATATATATATAAATATGTATAAATATATATATATATATATATATATGTATAAATGATCTGTTTATTATTTCAGCACGTTGTAAAAATATGTTGCCTACTTTCAGGCATTGTTATATTTTAAATCAATTTGAATAGCACACTTTTTACCGATGTATTTTAAGGCACATCCGCAACCAATTTGCTGCATATTTATCGTTCAGTTATTAGAATTTTTTATTGAAAACATAAAATGTATAACACTTGCAGAACTAATTTGTTTGACAATTTCATAACAATGTGAAATTGTTTGTGTTCAATTGTTTTTTAAATGGAAATTCAATATTAATCAAGCTGATTATCTTATTCGAGAGTCAATATTGATATTGGCTCACCTTCGCATGAATTTAAATATCTTATAGTCTCAATTATGTTCAATAAAATTATGAAAAAATACGAAAAAGCAAGAACGTAATATAAATTGTATTTTCACTCACATTAAGAGATTTTTGTTCAGCAATAAAGCTGTCTGCAAAGAACGGATATTAATTTTTACGCTCGTGCATGGCATTTGAATATAACTTATAATTTCCTCGAGTGCAGCGTCGATACCCTTTCTGATAGAATTTTAAGAAATGGGGTATAATTTGGGAAAATTTAAGTTTGCAATTACATATTTAAAATCTTGATAGATATACCCTCATATATTAGACGCAAGCATAATTTTCTTGTGCTCATACCAAGATATCAAGAAATTGCACAGGGCATCTGCCAGTATAGAATATTCGAATGGAAACTCTTATTGGATACCAAGTGCTGTCAATTTCCTCAGCAGATGCTCCTCTTTGGCCATCCACTTTACATTCTTGTAAGCCAGTGCGTTGTAGTGACACATTTCCGTCTTCACTCGAGTGATAAATTGCACTTAACACTTTTGAAAGCAATATACAAACCACATTCTTTAATTAATACTCTTTATTTGTTGATTTATTATGTTTATTTTAAAATAAGCTTCGCTGAGAATAGAATAGTTTTTCTACTCTGAACGCAATGAAAATGGGGGAACAACATTATGTAATGAGGTTGTACAAAAGATTGCCACCGAAGGAGTTGTGAACCACAGTCTGTGGATACGGTTGAGATGAAGGTGGGCAGCTGGTATCCATGATAGATAAAACCTTGGCTTCAGAGTATGTCCTTGTCTACTAGGGAGGTCGACTAGAGCATTCTAACTTGTTCTTGTAAGAATAAATCAATATGAGCTGGTTTTTTTATGTACTGTATCTGGGTTAAACAGTAAAAGAAAAAAAATAAATTCAAATTGATGCCTAAAGGCGAAAAGTTGGGCATAAAATTTGAAAATGCACTTGAAATGCAGGGCTGTTAAGTGACATAAAATCCAGTTACAACTAGTACTGACAACTCTCAAAAACTTTTAACGATAAAAATCGTCTTCGAATTTGCGATAAAGCCGTTCCGCATACAATGCGGCGTATGCGTAATGTGAGCGAGTTTTTTCTTGCAGCTTCCGAATTGATACGTAGAGGCGACAGAAACAAATTGAGTTTATCAGCGACAACAAATCTAGAGGAGACCCATAATCATTCATCATCATATGAGCCAACCATATATCCCTAGTGCCACATTCAGCCCCTAAAAAATATTTGCATTTATCTTAAGCTCATTCGAAATCCGTGAAAGCGAAACACAACAAAACAAGAGGCACGTGTGTGTGCGTGTGTGAGCCAAAAGCCAATAAGCGAAAGTCGTTGGCAAGAACATCAACAAAAGGTAAATTCATTTTAGATTCGGTAAACAAAAAAAAAAGGAAAATAAAACAGAACATGTGCAACGAACGTTTATCCTAGATATAATCCCAGGTGCTGTTCAAAAACCCAATCGACAGCCGACTAAAACCCCTGACGAGTAGCAACATCCATAAGTCTAACACTCCTCAGCTTCCCCAACTCTTCGGCCGCCCCCTGTCACCTTTGCAATTTCAACTCATGCCGATTTGAGTGCAGCTTCCTGCGAGTTGCTTCGCTTCTTGTCAAAGTCAAAGTATGCATTAGCATTGTTTACTTGCCGGCAGGAAAGGGGCTGTGGCAATAACAATAAAGCAATGAGAGAAACTGACAATTGTGCAGGATATTACGAGACTGGCTTTTACGCTTAACTGTTGCCCCTGTTGCCATCTCTCTTGCTGTACGTTGCTTTCCCATACTATCCTGTTATCGGCATTTTACGAGTATTGACACTGCAGTATTCAACAGGAATATACGAGAGTACTGCCATAAAATGGTTGCCAAAATGATTTTGGATACTTGATACATCCTATTTGTTTTTCAGCTTGTTGGGATTTTCGTTTTCATTGCAGCTCCTTAAATTGAAAGGTAAACTTTTAGTAGATTCGTAAATGTAAGAACTTCATGTCTCCAATTTTTTTCTTTTCAACGATAAGGCAAACCAAATTTGGAAAACTAATTGCATTTGCAAGTCATGATTTTTTATTATCAAATAAGAGAATAACAGAGTGCACTATAAAAAACATAGTAATGCGGTTTGTATTGAATTTGGTAGGGGAACCTGTTTGAAAAAAGATACAGACCAGTTTGTGGGCTGAGCCCGCAGTCCACAAACTTGACACCTCTGTCAGTCCTAATTTATATGCAAATTGTTTTGGTATAATTTTTCACCAGCTACGCTTAACTTTTAACTCTTTTAGCTCTTTTTTATGCTTCTTTCACTTTTTCATTTTGCTTCTTTTTTTTTTTTTGTTTTGTTGTTACTGCCGCAAGCATGCGCCATTTAATAAACACCCCACAAACAGCAGTCGAAGCAGATGCGGATGCGGAAAGTAACCTAAATGGCGCGTCACCGAGTTTTCTTCTTAGGTCTTTTGCAACCCCCGCAGCAGCAGCAGCAGCAGTAGCAGCAGTAGCAGCAGTAGCAGCAACAGTAGCAAAACTGAACTCATGTCAGACAGGGCGACATGTGCAATATAGGGAAATAATATGCAAATGCAATTATAAGCAACTCGCAACGATATATGAGGAAGACATCAAACTCGAATTGACAACAAGTAAAGCGACAGCGCAGACCGCAACATTTGCCAATTGTTCTACCCTAGCTGAGGGTATACTTAATGTGCCACAAAACGTGCTCAAAAACTACTTCCTTAAGCGATGTACAAGCGATCTATATATAGAAATTTGTCAAGTCGAACTCAGAATACACTCAAAGCTATTTTGTAGTGAGTACCTTGAACAGCCCCCCTTGATAGGGAAGCTTTTTAATCACTCTGTTTTCATTAACACGTCTGTTAATTAGTCAAAAATGTAAGTATTTTATTTTGATGTTTACACTGCAAATGACCTCTAATCAATATGGTTTGTCAAGCCAAGCTATTATGTCTGGGTAAGAGTATTAAATATTCATTATTGCTTCTGGTTTTTCACTTTAGCTTAACTTAATTTTCATAACATTAAATAAGCGCACTTATTCCAGCCCAAGATATTGTAATTCTGCTTCAAAAATGTAATACTTGAATTTAAAAGATATATAATAAAAGTGGCACCTATAGAATAACATGAGAAATACTTGAAGATAAAAACGACTGATCGACGCTAATCAGCGCAACTTATATGAGCCATAAATTAGAAGGCGACTGTACGACATCCGTTAAACATTTGCCGCCACTCTGCAGGCCGTGTGATGTGCAAGTTTTTGTGTGTCCGGATGTGGCTGGCTGGCTGGCTGGCTGGCTGGCTGTCTGACTGGCTATCCAGGCTGTGTTAGTATGGGCTGATGCATGAAATGTAATAAATTTCGTTATCTATGCATTATTTATGCCGTAATTTGGTATTTTAGCCCAAAAACAGAAAAATGAAAAGCGTCCAGCGTCGAGTCCGGGTACCCAGAAAAGCCTTCAGCCTTCAACGAGAATGGCATCGGGTCAGCGTTACACATTTTCATTACATTTCTCTACCTCTCGCTCTCTCTCTCTCTCTCTCTCTCTCTCTCTCTCTCTCTCTCTCTCTCTCTTTACCTCTATCTCTTTCTCACAGTATGTGAAAGGCGAATAAATTACACTTACAACATTCCGTTTTTGGTATTTTTGCGAAAACGCATATATATGCTCATTTATATATGTAAGTTTTAAATGAAATGTTGCCAAACAGAAGCGGCAAAAATTTGTCTATCTCTTTATGGCCAAGTCATTGGTAAATTGGCCCAAACCTAAGCAATAAAGACAACACTTCAATTAGTCTCGCACAAGTTTGCACAAACACACATCGATTCAAATTCAGCCAACCATTTACACATTTGATTATATTTAACATTTCAGTTTATTGATACTTTGATTAATCGTGGCTAGCTTTAATTACCTTGAGCTTATTAATAGTAGATTATGCCCGTAGGGGCTTCACAGTATTAATTTTGAAGAGCTGCTGAGATCGCATGCTTGTCTCTCTTTGTAACAGTTATAAGCATAACAGCTATTATCTGCTTATTTATTGAACGCTCTTAATGCCTTTTAAACAACTCAGATACCAAAGGTAGATTAAATTCATATTAAATTCATATAATCGATAACCGCAAAGTTTAAAGTTGGAGTCACCATATTGGGTTAGTATATTAATGGCAAAGTCCTTGAATGATTGATATAAATTGAGAGCTAAGTCTTGCACATTTCTTAAGCTTCAGTCACAACATTTTTTAACTATATTACCAATAACTCTTTTCGTAGATCGATAAGAAAAAAACGCTTCTTTTGCCCCAAGACCGATATACCCGATTGTGTAAATCGATACAATCACAAAACTCACACAAAATCTAAGCTAGGCTTGGAGGCTATATAACAAAAAACCTCTTCCTGAATTGATGAAAGTTACCAGACTACGCCCATTACGCCTCCCAAAAAGTGGAAAACCTATATTAGAAATTGGTGTACCAAATTTGAATGGCACATTAATTGTTATTCAATGATTGAGAAGGTTATTTGCTTACGTGATCACTTGTTGTCCACTGACTTATTGCTGATATCAGATTTAATACTGATATTTGTGTGTGTGTGTGTGTGTGTGTGTGTATGTGTGTGTGTCTTGTAAAATGTGCGTTCCTCAAAAATTGGCAAGTTCACAGATAAGCATATTCTGCTGGTGACCTAAGTTTTAAAGAGACACATTCGCCATCTAATAATCAACAACACATGTACTGTAAAAATATTTATTCTATTATATATTATTTAATATCGCTTCTTAGGGTTGAGGGCCAACGGGCAAATGAGAACCCTGGGGCTGGAAACCGTTCTCATCGGCAACATAGTTGACGGTGTAGGTCACACCATCATCGCCAACAAAAGAGTATGAGCCCTTAACGGAAATAGCCTCGTGTTCACTGCCAATGTTTTGCAAATCACCAGTTTCCTCGGCCTGAATACCGTTGGATGTCTCGTAGCTGTAACAAAAAATAAGGCAAAGGATAAGCGAATGCGTCTTATGCTCCAGTTGAGAGTAATGACTTACGCATAGTTGTACTTTTCTGGTCCAACATCAGAGTTGCTACGCACAACTTGTGCCTCACCATCACTACCGGGTGCTGCCAGGGCAACGGCGAAGAGGGCAACGAAGACGATCAGGAATTTCATGATGAGTTGTTGTGTAGCGCGTTTGAGGTATCAAAGGTAACTATTCTATCTTCGGTTGCTTAGCGTCTTATTTATACTCATCAGCTATAATAATTCGTTTGCGGTTGAAACTAGTTTATGAATGGAAAAATGTTGAAATGCAGATGATATGATAAAAATATAACAAGTTTTTTTAAGTTTTATGTTAGCGTGTTTTAAAAACGTCACAAGGCGAGACCTGCAGACAAATGAATCCAAATTTAGCAAACCATTTACATATTTTTGTATATTTTGTATTTCATTTTATGGATATGCGTAGATTATTTAGATTACTAATGAATTAATTTACTTGGGTTTATTAATAGTAGATTACGCCTCTGCATGCTTCACAATTTGAATTTGAAGGGCATTCTCTGATCGCATTATTGTCTATCTGTGTGCTGTAAGTGATCTAGCTAATTGGCAACTAGCATCTGCAGTTCTTAAAATGCAACTTTACGCAAATACCTAAAAAACACACTACACTTTTAAGCATTACATAATTTCCCAACCAACAATTACAAAAATTTAGAACCTACCGCGTCCTGTATAATCGCTAAAATGCAGTTAGAAAGGAAGCCGACGAATCAACAAAGCAAATTAGCAGTTTTCGGAAGATCTTAGGACGTGTTTTTGTCTCCGTCCCGCCTGCCAACCCCTCCTTCCAATAAGCAACCATACCATATACGCCCTTGTGCATATATTAATATAGATATGTGAACGAATACACTATCGCTTTCAGCACACAGAAATATGTGTAGACGAATAGAGCAGAAAAATACACATATCTTAGATAAGCAGATGCGCCTAATCTCTTACTAATAATGCCGGTTGGCAACGCACACACGCTGCCCGGTCTTGACCAGACTCAAGACCAAGCCCAGATCTAGACTGCTCAAGGTTACGGCTATGCCAATAGCTGTTTGACTGGTCTGCGGCATCTTCGTCAAACACATTTTTCAAGTTTGTCTTGTCAATTTCGTGTTCATCGATTTAATTCGAATTTTGCATCAGCTAAAAATTAGTTCAACCATTAACTTAAATCTAATTTCCATAAAAATTAGAAAAATATATGGTTTTTTCTCATAGCTAATTATTTATTAATACACGGAATAAATAAGTTATTGTTTAGCCTATCTTAGACACAATAAATAAAAGGTTCATTGGTTAAATTCCGTGATAGCTGTGCATTGAGGTCCAAATGCAAATAAGACAATATCGAGCTCTATATTTATTTATTTTTTCTGGTTTTTGTTTCGATAAGAACAATTTTATGAACATTTTATTGGACATACCATGCATTTTTGGTGCTGGTGTCTAGCAGCTATTCGAATTTTACATCCGATGACTTACACAATGTTCTTACAATATAAATAACATTTTCTGCCATTCCGAACGTGTTCGTATGAATAATTGCAATCAACAACAAAGTCAAGCAACTATGACACACTCAAACACTGCAGAAGCAGTAGAGTTTGTCAAGACATTCAGTGACATTCATCGCATGTGTCAATTCTTTAATGAGTTTTGAAATTGCTTTAAAATAAATAATTTATGCTGAGCGATCTATCAATTCCAGTATGTTTTTAAAACCAATAACTTTGGTGTGAAAGATACTCAGTTGAAGAGTTACTTCCTTTCCCCAAACCATGATCGAAAACTCAAGAACTTTGGAAAAACGTTTTTTTATTTCATATTTAATAAAGCTTCTTAGGGTTGAGGGCCAACGGGCAAATGAGAACCCTGGGGCTGGAAACCGTTCTCATCGGCAACATAGTTGACGGTGTAGGTCACACCATCATCGCCAACAAAAGAGTATGAGCCCTTAACGGAAATAGCCTCGTGTTCACTGCCAATGTTTTGCAAATCACCAGTTTCCTCGGCCTGAATACCGTTGGATGTCTCGTAGCTGTAACAAAAAATAAGGCAAAGGATAAGCGAATGCGTCTTATGCTCCAGTTGAGAGTAATGACTTACGCATAGTTGTACTTTTCTGGTCCAACATCAGAGTTGCTACGCACAACTTGTGCCTCACCATCACTACCGGGTGCTGCCAGGGCAACGGCGAAGAGGGCAACGAAGACGATCAGGAATTTCATGATGAGTTGTTGTGTAGCGCGTTTGAGGTATCAAAGGTAACTATGCTCTATGCAGCAGCAGAGGCTCGTATTTATATTACAAATTTGATGCGTATTTGCATTTCGCATTGGATTTTGCTTCCGATTCAAATAGTGAGCGCTTTCAAGGTCAACGATGCTGATGGAAAAGAAACCTGTGCTTTGCATCTTAATAACAGGTTCGAGATATTTAATGTCAACTATGAATATATATGAAATCGAGAAAACCAAAAAAACAAGTTTACTGCTTAAGTTGACAAAAGAAAATTAACAAAAATCGACTCATGCATATGTATTAGCAAAGTCAAACTAGTATTAAAATTAGACTACGGGCTTCAATTTAAATTCAGTTCATCTCTTGTGTAGCGATATTATTGGAATTAGAATGTGTATTATGTGCACTCAAGCGACATATATAAATCGACTTCACCCAGTAGTAAAACCATTTAATTTGTCTGCAATATATTTACTAATACTGATTATGTGGGGTATTTTTTATTGTTAAATATATATAACTAGAAAAAGAACAGTTATAAATAAAATCCTAAAAATCTGATTCGAATGCGACCAGCTGCACTTTTATTTACAGTGCTGTTTGTCGCATTTGAATCAGCTTTTTCTTGAGATTTTATTTTTAATTCTTCGTAGTCCGAGTATTTTTCAAAATGCACTTAGCTCACTTTGTCATAGTCCGTAAATTTGAAATGTCATTTCGACTTTCAACTGTCGACTAGCGCACAACCTTGTGGCTTTCAACTGACACGCCACACACATCCTGCAATGGAGATAGAGACGAAGACAGAGATAGAGGCAGGAAGTGCGAGTGAGGCGGCTGCCAGTTGCAGTTAACTTTGAGCTGCAGCTGCCCTTAAGCCATACATGTAGTATATATACATATATACACACATACATAAATCCATCATGTAATTGAAAAAAAAACTACTAAAATAAAACTTCAACATATTTGAATCATTTGAAAATTAAAAATACTGACCCCATAAAGTATGCTCGATTGGGATTAAAGCCTGACAAAAGGTAAAATAGTTTTCAAAAATTTTAATTGAATTTATTACACTTATTGGGAAATTTGGATGTGAGCGGATGGACTTCGGTCTGATGGGGTATGTAAACCATTAACGGATATTTCATATTTTTATATGGTATTCATTTTGTGTGGCAACTTTAAGCTACTGTGTAGCATTCAATTTGTCGTGTGGCAACCTGTTCTCACCTTGCAACTAAAACCGACCTCGCCACGCCATTAGAAATAAATTATTTGTTATCAATCCGAGCGAACTGGCTACAGAAAAGTTTTCTTTTTTGTTTTATTGTTTAATTTTTGTCTGGTAGACACACAAAACTGCAACGTTTTCTATCTGCAATTTCTTATTTTGTCAGTCGATAATTTGTTGAAGTCCAGCGTCCAAGCCGTAAATTGTCTTTGGCAGGCCAAAAATCTGTCTGGACCTTTTCGCAGCGATTCGATTCGAGTCGATATCGCTTTGGGCCAGTTCCTCGACTCGACTGTGGCAAAACTTTGGCCCAAGACACGCTGGGCGCGACAGCCAAATCAACAAGCAATTGTTGCTGGTAAAACACGATGCTCTCCCCACTCCATGCCCCCATACCCAATCTGTGGGCAGTGTCCATAAAGATTACAGCGCAGCAGGGAAGCAAAAAGTTTTTAATTTTATAAAAACAAACGGCAACCATTGGAACTCCGCCACAGACCAGAGTCCAGTTGAAGACAAAATAATGGACGACAAAGTAAAGCAAAAATGAGAGGATAGAATCAAAATTATATTTGATGAACACATTTATTTTACAAATAGTTGTCTGTGCAACGCACAAGCACAGATTAATATACCACAAAAAAAAAAAAAACATACAAAAAGATAGAAGATAGAAGAAATGAAATGGTAATCAAGAATTCAAAAGGACTGTTGAGACTAGGATAACCAGCTTTTGCCAGTCTTACTGTTATACGTATACCATTTTTGTTGCATTAGGTTTCTGATATATTGCTGTACTGATGCTGATTCTTAGATGCTTTTGAATTGCGAAAAGGGAGTGGAAAGCTGTCAAGATAATTCGCCGTTGTATAACTGTTACTGAATTATTGGTAGAAAATATGGCTTGTCAAAGCAGCTTTCCAAATGTCCCAAGCTTTTTGAGGAGTAAACTTACGTAGGTCTTAATTTAAATAGTTTTTCCGACTCTGCTAAGCTTTTCTCAATGATTGTGAGCTTTTGCTCTCATTTTCCATTGCTTAAAAGCTCATAAAAAGTTTAAGCTGGGGAAAATTTCTATCGGAAAGCTTTTCAAATATCCCATTTTCAAAGCAAAAGCTTAACGCCTGGCAGTTCTGAAATGCATTTGAGACCTGGTCGGGTTTTGGCCACTAATTGAAATGCTTTATTTATCAAGTTGCCATCGATGCCTCCGTCGATGGCGGAGGTTGTCCACCTGTCAGTCTGTCTGTCTGTCTGTTTATAGAGCAACAACTCCCACAACTATTACTAACAACATTTCGTTTTCAGAGCAGGCCCACTGCATCTCGTTGGTCTGAATCACTTTTCATTTATTTGCTGCTGGCTTTTTGTGCTGGCTGAAAGAGGAGGTGGGAGCCAGTGGAAGAGTGGTTCGCATTGCTGTTTCCTCTCAGTATATGACGCGCAAGGAAACAAAAGAAAAATTCTAATGAAATTCGAAACTGCAACAACGATAGCAACAACTGCAAGTGGGTTTGGGGCTGGCGAGGCTCTTAGAAAATATCATCTGAAATGTAAATAAAGATAAATAAGACAGAAAAAAAAAAACGAAAATCGCCGTCAGCAGGTCGACATATTCAAATACAACCTTGATTTCACCAAATACAAACAGCATT